AAGCTCACACATAAACAAACAAATATCCAAACTTACACATGTATAAATTAAAGAATTGCATACACACATACACACGTACACGCACACCCACGTACACACACACAAACACACACACGATCAAACACACACATACACACACATACTTGAATTGCTTATTGTCCTTTGTCATACTATTATATTATATGAGTGTACATTTACGTCTGCCTATTCACATGCACTGAGAGACACGCATATACGAACCTATACACTTACATACATTCTTATAAACATGCACGTTAGGAAATTCGTAAATTTTCTAAGTAATAATTATTCTCCCATTTCATCTAAATTGGTTTATTTTAATGGTTTAACACCCCTTTTCATACAATAAACCTATTTAAAATATATAATTTCTTAATCTAACATCCATCTCCGATCGAAGCAAGCTAAATGAGTTGAGAACCTAAAAAAACTTTCCAAAACAACCCAAGTTCAGAATGCCCTGTTGGGAATTCGAACCAGGGTCATTCATCCCAAAGACATCAAGATGATACCTTTGGAGCTAAAAACGCGCTCTCATCTCCATAATATGACCCACAAGCGAAGAGCGCGCTCATATGACCTTAGCAGTTGCGAGCGCCGTAAAACCTTATACTACTACTACTACAAGCGAAGTACAAAAGCAGATCTACAGGCTTTCTTAAACTAGATCTATATAATTATCATTGTGTTGCCTTCACTTCCCCTTCCTCGACCAGATAGGCCTATTTATTACCGTTGGAAAAAATAGTCCTTTAGCTTAATTTTAGCCCTTCAATCTAACATTTCACATGAAGTCTTCATAATATGACATACGTACTGGAGTAAATTGCACTATCTATAAACTGAAATAATAATACAGATCTATATTTCGCCCCAACTTTCCCTTAATTGGGTGCTCTGGTGAAGTTTGCTCCTACTTTAAAAAAAGTAATATTAAGTTATTCTCTAGTAACATCTGATCTTCTGCAGTTATGTGATCCATTTGCAATGCAAGTATCGTAAAACTTTTGACTAAAACTTATGTTATTTCTGTTAAGATTTTTATACCATTTCCTTCATTCAGCAGGTATTCATCACGATTTGAACCTACGGCCTCAGAGTTTGGGGCCCTGTACTGCTACCATGATGACGTTTCCCACAAATCACGTGACCAGCCATCCTGGACGCGCAGGTCTGGGACCCCTACCCGTTCCCGCCCTTCTTCCCTACCCTCTCTACCTACACAGTCTGTCGTCTGCCAAGTTAGAACCAGACGTAGACATACCTCAGCGTCACCACAAACAACACCAGCAACAACAGCATCAGCACCAGCAGCAGCAGCAACAACAACAGCACCATCAACAACAGCAACAGCAAGCACATCATCTCCATCCTGCAATCCACAACGGCAGTTTTCATTCTACACCACAAAAGTCGAACTGGGAGCTTCACTTTCATAAACAACTGCAGCATCACTACCACCAACAACAGCAACAACATCTGCAGCTGTTGCACAGATATCAAAGACAGGTCCTGGTGGAGAAAACGGAGATACTGCACCATCCTCCACCATTATCGAAACACCACCATGAAAAGACTCCATTATATTCCTCTTTAGCTGTTATTCCTCGAAGCGAAACAAAAGATGCAACTATTTCACGCCAAGATATCGGGAAATCCCGAAATAGCCCGAGTCATTGTGAAAAATCTGTGTTCATCGTCAGTCAGAGTGTAGCCTTTCTCGACACACCCCAAAACACCGATGAAGAAATATTATCTGACAGCAGCAAAGATATCAAAGAGAAGACAGTGTGCCATAAGAAGTTAGGTTCGGTCAAACAGGAAAGAATAGAAGATGACCTGAACAAGTCACTAGACTCTCACTGTGAACTGTCTCCAAAGCAGCTGAATAGGTCTTGTGACGTCATGAGCCCTCTGTCTGTCAGAGGAGATGCCAGTCCTGAGAATGTTTTGGAAACTACCAGGCTCAGACTGAAGGAGGATCTGATGGGTAAGTTCGGAGACGGTCCCGACGGAAATAGACCAATCAAAATGCTTTGTGGCTCTAGACCAAGTAAAACGAATCTGAGGGGTTACCAGGGGGGGG